CAAAGTACTCTTATGAAAAGATATCATGTTGGAGATGGATTCCAGTCAGGAAAGCAAGTAGCTTCTGAAAATATACCAGAAAGTTCAAAGTAGATATGGCAAGTTCTTTCCTATGTGGGATTTTTCTGGACAGAACAAAAAACAAAGAGAGTCTGTCCTCCCTTTTGCCATCAAACCCGAGAGGAAGGCAACACATTTTCCTCTGTCCATTTCATAGGCAAAAGGAGGGACCTGTCCAGATCTCACAATGAAGCCAGGAAATCATTTCCCTTACCCTGTGCTTCCAGGGATGTTGAGAGCCACAGCCTGAGGGGCCCCAGCAAACTTCCAGCTGCCAGCAAACTTCCAGCTGCCGGCTGATGATTGGCTCACAGCAGCCCCAGCAACATCTAGCTGATTGGCTCCTCGGCCCCAGCAACATCTAGCTGATTGGCTCCTCTGCGGTGATGCTCATTGGACTGTTTCCCTGCCCTTTCAGACCACGGAGCTGCTCATTGGGGGACTTTTTTGGCTCCGCCCACGTGACCCAGCCAATCGGCCTCAAGAGCAGGAGGATTGTGGGAGGTGGAGAGAAGCTTGGGTGGGAGAGAGAGGCTTGGGGAAAGCCGGTGGTGGCAGTTGAGGCTCTGAGGGTTTTTCCTGAGAGACTATTTTGTTTGTCGTGTGTGGTTCTAAAAATAAAGTTAGTTTCTTTTGACAAGTGGCTCCTGATTGTGCCCAGCCAGCCTGCGGCACAGGGATTCTTGTTGAGGTAAACCACAGCTTGTCCCAGTCCCAATGACTTAACTGTCATGGGGTGCCCAAGACTGAAAGGATCCTTGGAACACAGGACTTTCAGTGCTAAACCCCTATGAATTAATTGTTCAACCTTGCCTGTCCCCAAATTAGCAAGTCATGGCCAACGGTCACCAGACTTCGTCCTGCTCTGGAGTTGGCAACCCATGGAAGCTGGAGATGATCAATGTATCATCTGACTGGATGAGATGGCTACTTCCTAGGACGTTGCGTGGTAGGGTCAAGCTATTATGAAAAGCCTCCTGTGATGCTCTGCCCCATTTTCAGCCTTTCTTTCAATAATTCCCTTTCCTCTCAACTATGATCCTCTATACAAAGCAAAGGTAATGAGAGAGGTGAGAAAAAACAGTCTACAAGGTTGCTTTCAGACAGCCACATCCTAGGATTATTACCATCCCCATGAATGCAGACACATTCCAGGACCTTCCAAGGCTTTGAGGTTTTTTGTATAAACAAAGTGCCCCTCAGCAAAACTTCTCAGTAGTTCAGGAGTCAAAAAGAGGCTGACTGTCCAGTCCCTCGGGGGTCAAATGACATGTTATCTTAAAGACATTGAGGTCTGTCTCAGGTAACACAAAGATGGTCTTCTCTGGTTCCTGGCCTATTCTCCAGAGTTGGTTAGTTTCTTTATACACACACACATACACACACACACACACACATACGTTTTATATATATATACACATTCATATGTGTGTGTATGTATGTGAACACACACATATGAATAATATAACCATCTTGTTCTCTGACGGCTTGAGAAGTCTTATATGAGGGTGAGTACGACAGGTGCCTTGAAAACACAGGATCTTGAAGCTGGGGTGGCTCTGTCCATCAGAGGAATTGAGGCTCCACCTATTCAAGAGGAATTCCCCAGAGCTGTATGAGAAAGGAGCCCACCCCCCCATCCCCCTGCCATTACTGACCCAAAAGAGCTTCTGCTAGTTCTCTCTCAACAACAACAACAACAACAAAAATGATTCCCTCTATCCAGCACAACCTCCTTGGGGAGATTTTAGCCCCTAATGTCCCAATCCAAGGATGACAAGTATCTGTCCCCTAAGACAAAAGGGCCTTGAGGAGCCATTGGGGAGGAGACTGACAAAGACAGACGTAGGCTGAATTAGGCACCATCCCCAGCTGTGGACCCACAGGGCCTTATGAAGCTCAACAACAAACACGCCGTCTTCCACAAGGCAGGCAAGCCTAGTGTTGGGGCTGGGCCACCAGAGAATTCTTGCTGGGAATGGAATCTGGAACAGACTCTATGGTCAACCGTTTTCAGATCAGAGGAAACAGAGGCCTTGGACACCAGCACCAGAGTCTCCATTCTGAGGTTGCCTGAGGACCATGCAGCTTGGGGGACAGACTGGAGAAACCTAGTTATCTTATATTTTCCAGGGAGACTATCTGGCCCACATCAATGCCCCCCTACTTTCAGGGAGCCAGAGAAGACCAGAAGCCCAGCTGCCTGGGAGCTTCTCTTCCCAGCTTCTGGGGAGCAGCTCTGCTGCCGAACAGGGCTGGAAAGCTGTAATTATCCAGACAGGATAAGAGCTATTTTTGGAAGGAGCTGTCCTGCTGCCAAGGCTTTTGACTTCCTAAACTAAAACAAGATGCACAGAAAAAAAATGGGTGAGGGTGGGGGAGGACAGGGAGGAGCCTTCTCTGTCAAAAACATCAAATCTTGAACGAAGGGAAATAGTGCCCCCTCCCAAAGGTATAGATTTAAATTAAGAGGTAAGCAAGAAGCCAGTTGTTAATATAACTCCCCTGGTTTGGGGAAAGAGGGTGTAACTGAACCCCCTTACCCACCTCTTGCTGACTCCCTCTCTCCTAAGACCCTCCAAGGGTACCTATTCAGTCTGTTCTGTTTATTTTGACATTTGAATACAAACTATTACAAATTGTTATTTAAACGTTTCCTGTCCATATCTTATCTTCCCAACCAGATGGTCAGTTTCTCACTGCCAAAGAACGTTATGTGTGTACTATGAGATTTTTCCCCAATCATGCCTAGAGTGCTAGGTATCTGAATAAAAATTGTCTATGAAAAGGAAGGAGGGAGGGTCGGAGGGAGGGAGGGAGGGAGGGAAGGAGGGATTTACTGTTTTACAAGGAGGCAATCTCTAAAAGTGGCTGCTCCCACCTACAGCTGAGCCCAGGGCTGGGGGCTGGATAATGGCAGAGGAGGTGGAAGCTGCATTCCTGGATACCTCCCCTTCAGCTGCTTGGTTATCTAAGCTCAAGTTGTCCCCGACTCATTTGTTTTCTGTCTGTAGTCAACTGTTTGGCCTGGGCCAGCCAGCCCATGGATGGAATCTACTAGAGGTCATTGCTAGGTGTTGGATAAGAGAGGAATATGACAAGAGAAAGAATGAAAACAGGAAGAGCTTTGACCATCTTATCAAACATGGGCCAAGAAGAGCCAAAGTACTATGGGAACAATAAATACACTGCAAAATCAGGACGCTGCCAAATTTAGGACAGAGGACTGCCAAAAGCAGAATCCACCTTATGCCTTTCCAAATTAAGGACCCAAATAGTGTGTAACCCAGAAAAGTGACCCCTTTCTGGAGTGCCCCTGGCAGGAGAGGAGGGAGTTAGGTGGGGACTAATCCAACGCATAGCTGCCCTGTCTTCCCACAGAGCACTTGGCAAGATTCATCATCTGCTAAAACGTCTCTGTTCTTTCTCTCCAGGGCTGCAACTAGCTCATATAGCACTTGTGCAGATCTCCCTCTGGGGAGAAGCAGTGCCACAGGTGCACAGCTTGGCAAGTGGAACACAAGCACACTTGTGCAATGGACAAACTACCCAACCATACCAAGCAGCTCTATATCCCTCCACACCCACTTCCTTCAGAGGACTAGAGGAGGACTTGAACAACGGGGTGGGGCACTGGATGGCTGGAAATAACTTCCCAGTGGCATTCTTACCTCTTCATCTGTCATAACAAAGAAGTAGAAGCCAGGCATTCCCAGGGGGCAGCAAGTGGAATCAGACAGTACCAACAGAAGGGGAAAAAGAGAATTTTACTAAAGATGTCCAGTGAGAATAGGCATAACCTGATCCAAATCCCCACCTATTCCAAGTGGCCCAAATAACAATAGCTAGCATTTACTGAGTGCTCACTGTGGACAGGTTCCATGCTAAGTAGTGAACACAATAACCTAGAGAAAGCCATTATTTCCACATAACCTGTGGGAAACTGAAGATTGGAGAAGTAAAATAACTTACCCAAGGTCATAGTCAGGAAATAGTAGACCTGGGGCTCAAACCCAATAAAACAATCCCAGAATCCATACTTTGTTACCTTCCTGTTTTATCGAGTTTCGCTCCCTCTGAAAGACAGAGCTGCCCTTCTCTATTCTTTGCAATTTATCATTCAGAGGGCTCATCCTGGTTGGGAATGGACTGGATTCCCAGGGCTCTCCTCCCCAATAACTTCTTCATCCAGATCCCTGGCGTCTATAGTGTTCATGGGACTGGAACTTATGTTGGGCCACACAATGCTCACAAGCAAGTAGTCCCTGATGCTGAGATTTACTCTCTGAGGGCTCATCCCCACCATCCACTGTGACCAGAGAGACCAAGAATAAAAACTGAAAGGAGAATCCTGAGGTCCTGAGGACACTTATGGCTTCTAGCCTTGGCCACAAAACCCACTGATGACCACAAGGAGAAGGTCCAGACATACATGGAGACCCTTTCTGGGCAACAGCTATTATATCCCCAGGTCATAGTATTGGGGATTGAGGAGGGTCGAGGAGCCAGAGAGACACATGAATTAGTCTGGAGGCAGCTCTGAAGAAAACTATGAAGCAGGGAGTTTGCTTTGGTGTTTTTTTTTTTTTAAAGGACATGATAAGTAGGACCAGGTAAGCCAAAAGGCTATGAGGCTTAAATCATTCTTCATTCCTGCAGTGACTTCTCATTAAGAGGAGAATCTTGAAAATGAAAAAATTTCCAGTTCCCAAAGGGATGGCGCTAGTGGTGAATTTATAGGCAAGACAAGTTGTTCCTCTGCTCCTTTAGGTCAAAACCCCAGCAGGGACTCTACTAAAAGACCAAGCTCTATAATAGAGTAAAAAGGCCACCCTCTGCCCCTCAACGTTTCTCACAATGAACCCAAAGGAAGGAAAAGCACAGCGCTTACCAGCCCTCACCCCAGCTCAGTTCTTCATCTCCACTCTCAGGAATCAGCTTCCGATCCTGCAAACCACTCTCTACTACCTTCCATTGAAAAGTTAAGCAGCATTGCCTGGAAGAGTCAATGCCTGACGCCAGGCCCAAGCATCATCATCGAGGTCATTAACTTGGAGCTCAGAGAAGCTGGCAGAAAAGTCATGGAGCATTGGGCTCAAAGATGGAACTAGATTTGACACTGGCCGGAGGGCAGCCCTGAGGCCCAAAATGAAGAGGGGGGCCTTTCCTGCCCACCCCAATGTCCCATCTCACTAAATTGGGGCTGCACTTGGGCAGTATGCTTCTTCACATACCCAGGAAGAAAGCATTAAACCTTTGAATGGGTTGTTTGATGGTGTGCTTGGGGGCCTGAGGCACTTCCCTCAATGGTACCCGACCTGGAGACTCCTTTGGTGATGGTGGTGATGGTGGACTTGCCTTCTCTCTCTGGAACATCAGGTCCTCACAGAAAGGGCTTGAGTCCATTTCAAAAAGGGACACTAAAGGGTCTAGGGGAGGAGGAGACTTAGGCTCAAAATCAGGTGTTGTCGGCCGGCTTTGGGGTATTTCAACTTCAGGATTCAGTAAGGCCCACCATGAGGAGTCAGGCCCATACCTAGGTAAGGACCGAGGGGGTAAGGGCCGAGGGGTCAGTTCCACTTCTGCATGGATGGAGGGCTTTCGGGAGGGTTCTGGATACCTGAGTGCAGGTCCTGGGGACATGTAGATAGTTTCTGGGGGCCTTTGCATTTGCTGCTTATGGACGGGCTCTGGAGTGACAAAGACGAGAGATTTGTGGGGGCCCTCAGACCCTGCTCGAGATGTCACACGCTGAGTTGACTGTCTTTGTGGAGAGATGGTGGCCTTGCGGCTGACCTCACGGCCAACCTCGCTGTCTCGGATTGGGGACCCCATGTTGGACTCCACCTCTGATGACATTATGACCTTTGGAGAATGCTTGGTCTCGGTGTAGGCAGGATGCTTGTAGAGAGTCTCAGGAGCTGAATGTGCTGCTCGGTGTCCACCATCTAAATCTTTAAGGACAGAGAGTTTGAGGGATGATGCCATTTTCATATTCCTTTGAAAGGCCTTGGGTTCTGAACGAGTTGAGCTGTGATGATCCACTTCTGGCTCTGGGCTAGCGAGCCTTCTATGGACTGTCCGATGGTCTACCACACGGCTGTGGCCATGCTCTGGGCTAGAGGGACGCTTTGGAGGTCTGACCTCACCAACACTAAAAATCTTTCGAGTGGTCTCTGTTTGTATTGCCTCATCCTTTGGATAGGCTGAAATCCTACGAGGAACTCTGACCCCTTGAGGATTCTGGACCTTGGAAGGTGGGTCTTCTTGCAAGTTATGTAATTGCAAGCTATCCTTCTGGTCCATAAAACTTAAGCGACGGGTGGACTTGGCATCGCGGGGTGAGATACGATGGCCAACTTCACGCCCTGGCTTGCTTTCACCACTTCTTCGCATTGCTTCCTCTCTGACTGGACTAAGGTGCCGATGTACACTTGTAGAATGGGAAGCCGGTGTCTGAACTTGCTGGTTCTTTCGATGAGGAGAGTGATGGCGGTGTGCCTCTGTTCTTATTCGGGTCTCAGTTCCCCGATGGAATTGTGCTGTAGAGTGGACATGCCCTGAATGTGGGGACACAAATCGAGAGTAGTCTGATGCTGAATGGGGAGTAGTGGGAAGTGCAGCTTCTAATTTTTGCTGGGGAGAAGGATTCAAAGAGACAGCAGCACTTCGGTGGCTTGAGGAAAGAAGGTACCCATGTCCCCGATGAGGGGTGGAAGTAGTAACCTCAGCCCCTTTATGTGCTGAAACTGCTACCTTGGACCCAGTTTTATTTGTCTTGACCACCTGAAAGACTGTGCCCTTCTGGGTAGATGCCATATTTTATCGCTGGCTTGTCTTCAGGATCCTAATGAAGCCTGAATATTTACCCTCATTTTTAAAAAGCTGCTGTTCTTGGACTCCCACAAAAGTGGCTGTTGTTCTGTGTGTCTCAAATAGTCCCCTTAGCTACCTTTCTGTCTGATGATGTCATAAAGGAAGAAGCTTCCTATTAAACATCCTGTTGTACATAATTCTTTAGAGAAACCCAAACAGTACCTGAAAGAAAACTGAATTTATCTTTGCACTTGACAGTACCAAACCTTTGGCCAGGTTCTTAAAAAAATCTGGATTTCTTTGTATATAGAGAAGGTTTCCTTACTCTCTCTAGGTTCCAAGAATTTTCAGAACTCATCCAGAGAAATCAGCCTGAAGAGTTATGAAACCAAGGCTACTCAAATCAATCATGCTGGGTTAGTCCCAGATTTAATAAGGTATGTTGTATTGTACAAAGTTGCCCAATTTTATTTGAAACCACACTGTATGTTAAAGTCAAAATGTAGACCTCCAAGTCACATGTGGCAGCACATGCCTGTAATCCAGTGACCCGGGAGGCTGAGATGAGGATCACAAGATCAGCCTATGCAACTTAGTGAGACCCTTGTCTCAAAATTTAAAAATGACAAGGGCTGGGAATTTAGCTCAGTGGTATAGTATTCCTGGGTTTGATCCCCAGTATATCTCCCCCCAATACACACACAAAGATAAAGCTCCAGCAATTTCCAGGTTTCACGGGTGTTTCAGTTGACTCTGGGTTAAAAATCTAGGTTACTCAAGTCTCATATTATTGGTCCTTAGTAGAAGGGATCTGGATTTAGTATCAGTTTCAATTATAAATGACTAATACCTTGGACAAGTTACCTGACTTACCTGAGTCTTAGTTTCTTCATCTGGAAACCACTTCCTGGTATGTGGGTGACACACAATAAACGTTTGGGTCCTTTCTCATGATGCTCTCCTGTCAGCAATCCAATCAGCTGGACTTTGGTTCCTCTTGATTAGAACAGTGACTTTCCAATGTGGAGGACTATTCTGGATAAAAGTCTGTTGTCTTTCTCTCCCTTTTATAGGTCCCTTACCTGTCTTTTGGACATAGACCCTATCATATCCAACATTTCTGTTATTTACTCCAAAGGGTTATCAAGGTAATTAGTGGTCCGCCTCATTTTCTGTGCTCTATAATGACCATTCTCTTCTGTTAAACATTTTTCTTCTAATGAGTTATAAAATTGTTCATTACTAATTATGACATTGATTTTAGTTTTAAGAATTCTAAACCTTTTTTTCTCCCCTAAATTCAAAGTTTTTTGTAGAAGGAATTGCAAAAAAATGAAATCACCCAAAGAACCACTTTACTATTTTTTTTTTTTTTTGTACCTGGGATTAAACCCAGGTGTGCTTAACCACTGAGCAACATCCCCAGCCCTTTTAATATTTTATTTGAAGACAGGCTCTTGCTAAGTTGCTTAGGCTGGCTTTGAATTTGTGATCCTCCTGCCTCAACCTCCCGAGCTGGTGGGATTACAGGTATGTGCCACTGTGCCCAGCCCACTTTACTATCTTTTTTATATTTTTTAGATGTTGATGGACCTTTATTTTGTTAATTTATTTATATGTGGTACTGAGAATTGAACCCAGTGCCTCACACATGCTAGGCAAGTGCATTACCACTTAGCTATAACCCCAGCCCCAGTTTACTATTTTAATAAGCATCTTTCCATATATCTTTCTATACACTTCCATATGTAGATATTTATTTATAAATTTATAGGGCCCTATTATGCCTACTAGCATAGTACTAGTAGCATTATTCCATAAAGTTGTTGATAAATTCATTCTATTATTTTTTAAATATTTTTTTTAGTTGTAGTTGGACACAATACCCTTATTTTATTTACTTATTTTTATGTAGTGCTGAGGATTGAACCCAGGGCCTCGTGCATGCTAGGCAAGTGCTCTACCACTGAGCTACAACTTCAGCCCCTCTATTATTTTTTTAAACCAACCTTTTATTGCTGGGCATTTGGCTTGTTTCCAGTTTTTCAAAATTATAAACAACACTGAAATAAACATCCTTTTATGTAATTATATCTTTTTCTCCTTAGGACAATAGTTCTTTATCCTAGAGCGAGATGTGGTGGCACATGCCTGTAATCCCAATGGCTCAGGAGGCTGAGGATCTTGAGTTCAGAGCTAGCCTCAGTAATTTATCAAGGCCCTAAGCAACTCAGTGAGACCCTGTCTCTAAATAAAATAAAAAATAACTGGGGATGTGGCTCAGTAGTTAAGTCCCCCTGAGTTTAATCTCTGGTTCCAAAAATCTTTATCCTGGCCTCTCCTGAAGAGTTTTTTGTATACCTTTTTTTTAGTTGAGTGGACCTTTATTTATTTATTTATTTATTTTTATATGGTTCTGAGAATTAAACCCAGTGTCTCACACATACAAGGCAAGTACTCTACCACTGAGCAATAACCTCAGTCCTCCTGAAGAGCTTTTAAAGGCCCCTTTTTGAGCTGGGGATATGGCTCAAGCGGTAGCGCGCTCGCCTGGCGTGCGTGCGGCCCAGGTTGGATCCTCAGCACCACATACAAAGATGTTGTGTCCGCCGAAAACTAAACAATAAATATTAAAATTCCCTCTCTCTTTCTCTTTAACAAAAAAATAAATAAAGGCCCCTTTTCTACCTCTACTGAAATAAATCAGATGGTGGTAAGCCTGAGCATCAATATTTGTTAAAAATGCCTTAGATGATTCTATGTACAATTATGGTTAAAGACCATTGTTTTAAGATAAAGACCTCTGAATTCTATTCAAGTGGTGCATGAACCAGCAGCCCAAGTGCCACCTGGGAGAGTGATAGACAAGCAAAAGCTTGGACATCACCTCAGACCTCAATTCCAGAATATACATTTATTTATTTATTTACTTACTTACTTAATTTATGCCAATGATAGAAACCATGGCACTATAGCTCACTATATACTGAGCTACATTCTCAGCCCTTTTCATTTTTTTGAGACAGGGTCTTGCTTAGGTTGCCCAGGCTTAAAACTCATTGAACCCCATCCCTATCTCTTCATCTATTCTGTGGTTTTAACCTATTTATTGTCTTCACAGAATGAGTTCAAACCTGCGATCCTCCTGCCTGAGCCTCCTGAGTGGCTAGAATTACAGACATGCAACAAAATCCATATTTTAACAAGATTTCCAGGTGATTCATCTGTAAGATAAAATTTGTGAAGTGCTGGTCTAAATGGTATTTCTGGATCAAAAAACATTTACATTTAAAATACACTCAAAAATCTCTCTGTAGATAAGTGGCACCAATTCATATCCCCAACACAGATGCTTGATTCCCCCCTCTCCCACCAAACTTAGATCTTACCGATATTTTTCCTCTTTAGTTATCTTATTTTAATTTACATTTTTGATTATCAGTGAAACTAGACATCTTTTAACATGCTAACTGGTTACTTGTTATGCTTCTTTTTAAAAAAATATTTTTATTAGTTGTTGATGGCCACCATTTTACTTGTTTATTTATAATGCAGTGCTGAGATTCTAACCCAGTGCCTCACACATGCTAGGAAAGTGCTCTACCACTGAGCCACAACCCCATGCCCTTTGTTATGCTTCTTTTCTGAATTGCTCTTTGCATGTTTTTCCATTAAGGTGTTTGTCTTTTTCTTAGAAGTTATTAGATCTCTTTGGATATTAGGAATATAAACCTTTTAGTCATACAATATATTGCAACTCTATCATTTGTTGACTTTATCCTCATTCAGCCATTATTTTATATTTTTAATTAATTAATTAATTTTGTAGTTGTAGATGGACAGAATGCCTTATTTTGTTATTTTTATGTGGTGCTGAGGATCGAACCCAGTGCCTCACACATGCTAGGCAAGTTCTCTGCCACTGAGCTACAGCCCCAGCCCTTACATTTTTAAAAAATCTATTTTTTAGTTGTAGGTGGACATAAAACCTTTAGTTTTTTTTAGTTGTCAATGGACTTTATTTATTTATATGTGGTGCTGAGACTTGAACCCAGTGCCTCACACATACTAGGCAAGTGCTCCACCACTGAGCCACAACCCCAGCCCCCAATACCTTTATTTTTATGTGGTGCTGAGGATTGAACCCAGTGCCTCGCGCTCACTAGGTGAGCACTCTACCACTAAGCCCACCACCCCAGCCCAAAATTTTACATTTTTATATAGTAAAATTTAAAAATCTCTTCACTTTGAACCCACTCTAAGATTAATAAAATTGTCACATATTTCTTAATGTTTATGTATTTATTTTTAATTAAAAATTTTTATTAATCAGACATATTTTTTTGGTACAAGGACTCAGCTTTTATGTTTTTCCAGATGTTTGGTCAGATATCCCATTATCATTTGTTAAATTATTATCTAACTTGATACACATTATTTAATATTCTAAATTCCCAAAACTTTATACTTTAGTTCTTTCTTTGGACTCTTTTTATATTATATAAATATTCATTTCTATGTTGATGCCATACTGTTAATTATTGAACTTTACACTATTCCTAAGTATGTAATAGTATAAATCCCTACTCTTGCTTTTCAGTATTGCTTCCATCAAACATTTATAAAGTCCTTTTCATTTATAAACTCCTACTCCACTATTGCCCTACTTTATTTAATATTTAATGTGGCTATAACAAAGTATCTAAGTCTTGGTACTGTATGAAGATAACAGATTTATTTAGTTTTCAGTTCTGTTAATCCAAGAGGATGGTGCTGGCATCAGCTTCTGGTGAGAGCAGATAGTGTCATGTAGTGGGAGCACATGTGAGGGGGATCAGTGTCAGATGACAAGAGAGAAAGCAAGAAGGCTAGCCAAGAAAGCTAAATTCACTTTATATATCAAAACCTACTCCAGCAGTAACCAATCTAGACTCACAACAACTATCCCACTTCAGGACACAAGTTGGTGCCCTTAAGGGCCTACTTTACTAGGTCCCACCACTTCCCTAGGTTCCACCACCTCTCAATACCATTACATTAAGGAACAAGCCTCCAGCACATGAAATTTTGGGGAACAAATCATATCCAAGAATAGCAACTATACAATTAACAGTCTTAATTTAGAGAGTGGGGTTTGCTTACTTAACTTCCACAGGACCATCTTATTTCTAAGCTCTTTCTTGGGGATACCTCACTATAACCCACTTTTAACACCAACATGTATGAGTAAAAAACAAATCTGAAATGTCCTAATAATCCTAGTTTTCCAAGGGTGCTTTAGAGATTTAATTCAGTCGTTAGCCAATGTTTATTTTTTCTTTGCTTAAGCAAGGTTGCTTATTATTTTTCTAGTAAGCCAATCTTTATCTACTGTGTGTCTGGAACTTGTTACATGTCTGCTTTCCCATCTTGAGGAAAAGTGAAGGACTCAGTATGTTACAAAAAACTCAGCATCAAACCCACAGAATAGATGAGGAGATAGGAATGGGGCTTAAAGAGTTTTAGTCTGAATTTAGCTCTGATTTAACTTTCATAATCATACTTTGAACTCCAATCATGGAAGACTACGGTTTAAGAATACAAAATTTGTTTGCTCCAGTATGATCCTGGGTAGGTCATGGGAACTTAAGAAGCCTCCCCTAGAATAATAACTTTTAGTGGTGTTGTGAAGATTAAAAATAATTGTCCAGTTAACAAATATTTGCTGAGCACCTAATATATGTAAGTGGCAATAACTCAGTGAACAACTTAGACATAATTCCTGGCCTTATGGAATATGGTCTATGTGTGGGTTGGGAAAAGGCAGGCAGGCTACTAAGGAAGAATTTCAGAGGTCCCTAATCTAGACTAAGCTTCAGGGACTTCAGAAAATCTCTTTAAAAAAGTAAAGTGAAAGCTAAAACCAAACAATGAAGTAGTTAGTTGAGGAGAGGCATATTCTAGTCAAGAATAACATGTGCCATACATTTGAAGAATTGAGATAAGTTTCATATTTCTAGAAGCAATGGGCAAAATTCTGGACAAGGAAATGAAACGATTATCTTTGTACATAAAAATATCATTTTACAAATAAAAATAAATGAAAAGATTGTTTTGGAGAAAAAAATTAGAGTACGAAAGAAAGTTTTAAAAATGCTTTTACCCTACTTCCTGTCCCCTGGCTTTGAACCTTCCACTGGATTCCCATGTTTGGCCATAGTTTTATAATCCCCTTGCTCAGTTTCCATCCTCACTTCCTTCCAGTCAACTCCCTTGTTGGGAACAACTTACCTTCAGAGTTGTAAGACTGGCTCTTTCTCATGATTCCAACCAAAGTCCAAATATCCCTTCTTTAGAATAGTTTCACCTGAACACCTGACCTGATGTTAAGTTGCCTCCCCTACAGCATTTACTATTACTTTTAACCTATTTATTGTCTTTATAGCATTAGTTCAATATTGGGTATATCAGTAAGATACCTGAAATATAAGAGATAAGATAGCTTGTAATAGAGGTCTGGTCGTACACTTAAAATACAAATCTGAAATTGTTAGTCCATAGGTGCTAACTGAAATCATGGGAATAAACCATGTTGCTTAGGAGGAAAACTTGCAGTGAAAAAAGACAAAGGCAGAGCCTGTAAAGGAGGGTGAGGTGAAGTAACGAGAGAGAGAGAGAGAGAGAGAGAGACAGAGAGAGAGAGAGAGAGAGAGAGAGAAGAAATAACAGTGTGCAACATCAAGGAAGCTAAGAGGACAGACTGAAAGAGAAACTGACAATGCGGTCAAAGTGACTGAGGAATTTAGGAATATGGAAGTCACCAGTGACCTTAGTGACTGCTAGAGAATGGAAGGAGTAGAATTTGAGTGGGTTGAGAAGAGTGGGAGGTGAGGTACTAAAGATAGCAGATGAAGACAAGAATGTTTCAAGAATTGCTGTGGGAGGAGAAGGATGGTATAGTAGGTAGAAGGAAAGGTGGGATCCAGGGAATACTCTTTTAAAGACAGGAAAATCTAAGTGTGTTAATGCTTATGAAAAGAAGCTAATAAAGAAGAAAGGTTGAAGCTACTAAAAAGAGAAATGCTAACCTCAGAAGGAAAACCCTGAGTGGACAGAAGATGAGATTGACCTAAGGACAGGAAGAGGGATACCGCCTTTATTAAAACAGGGAGGAGAGTGGAAAGAATATGTACAGTCCAGTATTGACTGCTTTACCTACAACAACTTCTGTTAATTATGTTTGGAGTTTTGGTGGCAGGAAGCTGAGTTAACTCCCACCTGAGGGCTTATATTTTCTCTGAAGTCATCTGTTGAGTATTGATAGGAAGTAAGAGAGGACAGTTTGAAATAGCTGATGAGTGAAAGAAGCAGCATACTAAAGAAACAGTGGGACTCCCATGTGCAGGAAAATTGATTAATATAAATAAAGCAACTGGTATATAATAATTGCTCTATAACCAATAAATAATATCTACCAACATTATGATTACTAATACTGACCACTATTTTTTACAGTCACGGGCCAAATAAAAGAATTTCTGTGTGGGTAGATTACAACCCTTATTACAGGGAGTTGGTATGGGACCTATATCCTTGATGCATACTAACAGATAATAACATAAGTCACCATTTATCATTGTATATCTGCTATTAGACCTTATATTTTTACTTATGTTGGTTCTGAAAGACTATGTATTATAAATATCTGTATTTCTCAAAGTATTATTTATAAATGAATTTGTTTTCTGGTGGTTTTCTGCTGGATACAATGGCAAGCAACTGTTTTCTTGCTATAAAATAGCCAAACAGACTTGTACCTTCCCATTTTATCTGTACAAGGCAAAATTTCTGGGCACTATTCACAATAGGAACTATTCAGTTTTCACAAACAACAGGCCTGCTACTTACTCACCAAGGCAGAACAAAATGCTAGCTGGTAAGTGCTGCAGTGTAGCACATAGTTTCCAAGAGAGGGTATATTCATATATGAAGATTCCAAATGGGAGGTAATGAAAGATATAAACCCTCTAAAAATCAGGCTAGCTACACATAGGCCAGGAATCAAAAAGAGGCTAAGCTAAACAAAACATTGTGATTAGTATTACCACAATTTCATTCTTGTAGTACACTAATGATGTGAGATTCACAATCAAAAACACATGGAGAAGATGTTGTTTACCTTGAACAGTTCAAAAAATCTTAGCATTTTATTGTTATCTCTTACTAAGTTACTTCTAGCTGGAATGGGAATAGGGCAATCCCAGCCAAAAGGTTGGGCAGTATTTCTGTGATAAAACAGGGGCAACTGGTACCAGCATATATGAAGGTAGCTGCCCAAGTGCCAAACCCTGTAACAGAAATATATAGCTGGAACCTAAATGGTATTGAAAATAAACATTTTATTATATAACAGGAGTTAAAATATTCAAAAAAATTAACACCAACAAAACCAAAAACCATTCTGAGCACAATTTTAAAATTGCAACTACCTTACACTTTTCAGAAATTTGATTGAAAAACAAATGGTTACATATGCTGCCCACAGATGGGGCCAAACCATTATGTCTACTGTAGTAGCTGAACAAATTGTGAGTTAGGGAACTGGAACCACTGCCCCAATGGCAACTGCAGCAGAAGAAAGAAGAGCTCACAACCAAGATGCTCAAACTTGGGTCAGAATCCATCTGTGATCCATTTCCAGTCAATCTGACAAGTCACTCTGATCCAGCACAATTATCCTGTATTTACATGTTTTAAAAGACAAAAAGAAAAAAAAGTTTCCAGTTGATATATATGCTTTTTATTATTATTGTTTTTGTTTTTATTTTTTGTGTGGTGCTGGGAATTGAACTCGGATCCTGATACATCCCCAAGCATCTCAAATGCTTTATTTGAGACAGGCTAGCTTTGAGCTTGTGACCCTCCTGCTTCAGCCTCCTAAATCACTGGGACTACAGATGTGCACCACTGTGCCCTTCCCAATACATACTTTTTTATGGACACAATATATTTTTATGTGGTGCTAAGGATCAAACCCAGTGTGCAAGGCAGGCCCTCTAACACTGAACTACAGCCCCAACCCTACATACATTTTTTCAAAAGATACAAACAACATCCTCTTTCTGTTCTACAGAATTTAAGGAAAAGGGATTTTGATATTTCTTTTTTGTAATATTTATTTTTCAGTTTTTGGTGGATACAGCATCTTTATTTTATTTTTATGTGGTGCTGAGGATCGAAACCAGCGCCCTGCGCATGCCAGGTCAGCGTGTTACCGCTTGAGCCACATCCCCAGCCCAGGGATTTTGATATTTGTAATCAAGGGAGATTATGATCAGCAACTTATAATGGAAATGCAAAAATGATGCAAAGCAATTGACAGCAGCAACTTATGTATACCTTCTGTATGAAAAGTATTCTCAGGCTGCGTCTACTACTAATTTAAATAAAGTTAGAATTAATTTCACCTTTTTTAATAAACAGAAACATGTATCTATAAACTGAGCAACTTCATCTTTTTTATTTTATTTTTTTGTGGTTGTAAATGAACAGAATGCCTTTATTTTTATGTGGTGCTGAGGATCGAACCCAGTGCCTCACACATGCTAGGCAAACATTCTGCCACTGATCTACAGCCCCAACCCCGTGCAACTTGGTCTCATTAATATTTATTTAGAAACCAGTGAATATTTCAGTTTGCTTATGTAAATGGTAAACTTTAACCTATAAACACAGGATATCTCATTACCTGGATGGTTCAGACCAACCCAGTCGCTTCCAAAAACACGGTTTTAGTTCATCTTGGTGAAATATAAGAGGAAGGAAAAAACAACCTGATTACTTTCTAGGTCAAAGAGTGTCAGAATTCAGAATTCACACTAGTGTTCTCTCTAGTTTAGTGTAAACTGTTTTACCTATAATAGTTGTTCTATAGAGGCAGAATGGTTAATGGCTTTCCCTCCTAATATTCTGAAGCTCTTTGCCACAGCAATGGACACCAATGACACTAATTCGCAAATACTAACTAAAAGCCCATACACTCTAGTCAAGGTTCTGGAGGAAACAAAATGTACCCATGGCAAATACAGATAAAGATTACTTAATGAAGTAACTACATACAAAGGTTCAGGGAACAAAAAAAGGAATGGCAAGGCATTCGGTGACTAGCAGCAATGGGAAACCTAGGTCTGAAGGGACTGAGGAATGGGGATGAGAGGACAGCTGGAACTGGGAAAGACTGGCTGCCTCATAGAAGCTGTGCTTGTGAAGGAACACCACTTCTATCAGATGCAAGGTGTTGAAACAGGCAGGGAGGGAAAGTAAACCCTTAACATCTCTTCTGCCCTCTGCTCTTTTGCCTGGGGCCTCCCTCTGACCAACAGGAAGCCAGGGAGAGGCAGTCCACTAGAGTCAGCATCCCAGGACACAAAGCAAAGTAGAAAAATTAAATGAGGAAAGGATGAAAGGGATACCATATATGACCTGAAAGAGTTAATGTTTTTTTTTTTAATATTTATTTTTTTAGGTGTAGATGGACACAACACAATGCCTTTATCTTTATGTGGTGCTGAGGATCGAACCTGGGTCCCGCCCATGCTAGGGGAGCTCTCTACTGCTGAGCCACAATCCCAACCCAGAGTTAATGTCTCTTAAACAGGAGATTGTTGTTTGTAAATAGCCTAAAGCTCTATTAAAACAGTTTTGAAATTAAGGTTAATTTATGACTTTTTCATTACTTGTAAACCTCATTTAAATTCCATAATATATGACTTCTTACTGGAGTCTGAAGCATCCATGTAAGCTAAATTTAAAATTCTTTTGAAGATGTTGGACAACTAGAAGCAAAACATCTCTCCAGACAATAAGATTAGCCAATGGTTTTTTTTAAGAAATATAACTTGTTGTTACTGTTTTTGTGATGAAGCTATGATCAGCAATTAACAGAAAACCTACACTGAACTGCAAGGGGAAAGAAATTATCAAAGGAAGGAAGATTGTGTATAACATTTGGGAAACATTATATAATAACTTTGATGCTCATCAAAGCCTAAGGACTGCAGACTGCATTATAAACAATCATTAATTCATACCTTCTTCTGAAGCCCCTAAAAAGCTGTCTGATTTCCTTCTCTCTGGCTTGATGCTTTTTTCCCTTTTTCTATGCTTTTCACCAACTTCTTGATCATTGGTTGCTTTCTCCCTTTAAGAACAATGATTTGGGGCATTAAACCACATACATAACAGCCAGGGGCAGGACTGTACTCTGAAGGAAACATAGCAATTAGGAGTATCACAGTGTTCCCTTTGGGCCAGGTGTTGGTTTAAGAGCTCTAATGTACCGTTAACTTGCTTAATTCTCTTAACAACTATATGAAGTAGTTACCTTCAATGCCCCCATTGTGATAAGGAAACTGAGGCACAAAGGTATTACATACACCTACTAAGTCCTAGAGCTGGTATCTGACCTACACAGCCAACCTAATCAGACTCTGTTTTTAACCACTAGACAATATAGCTGGCCTCAAAGGGGGAAAAAAAAAAAACACCCTCATTTTATGTCGTAATTGGTGGTTTTGAAGAAGACCACCATTTGATCACCTTTCTCTGATATGAAATGTCTAAATAATTTGACTATCTTACAGTTTAAGAACAAATTTGTTAAACTTTTAAGCAGAAACCCCCATTCAACAATAAGCTCCTTAAAGGCAGAGTCATTGATCCCCCTGTGCACCTCCTGCCTTAGCACAGTGTTCAGCTCATTGTCAATGCTCAAGAGATGCTGGCTGAACCTAACACTATTTAGGGATTCTTTTTCTGCTTTCATTTCATGGACAGTAGAAACAAAATATGTAAAATGAGAAGGGCTGGGGATATAACTCAGTGCTTGCCCAACATGAGTAAGGCCCTAGGTTCAATCCCCAGCACTGCAAAAAGAGAGAGAGAGAGAGAGAGAATGAGAATTAAACAGAAAGGGTGAAAAGAGACTTTTTTCCTCTCTTAACTTCCACTAACAGAATCACAGGGTCAGAGGTGAGGAGGGGCTGGGGCTGTAGCTTAGTGGTAGAGCACTTGCCTAGCACATGTGAGGCACTGAGTCCGATTCTCAGTGCCACATAAAAATAAATAAATAGGGCTGGGGCTGTAGCTCGGGGGTAGAGCACTTGCTTAGAATGCATGAGGTGCTGGGTTTGATCCTCAGCACCAGATAAAAATAAAACAACAACAAAAAAAGGCATTCTGCCCATCTATAATTAAAAAAAAAAGAAAAATAAATAAAATAAAGGTATTGTGTCCATCTACAACTAAAAAATATTTAAAAAGAGTGGGAGGAGGTGTTTGAGTTATCTTCTGCCTGTGTCCAAATGCCCCAGATCAGAGTCTCATCCAGTCTCTTCTGAGCAGCAGTAGCCATTGTTGAAGTAACTGGAAAGCCAACTGCTCTCCCTATCCAGTGGCTGTGACCACTAGAAAGTCAGTGCTTTACTGAATACAAATCAGTTACTCTGTAATTTCTAGTCACTATTTCTGTCCTTTGGGGCAGAAGAGAGTAAGCTGACTCTCTTCACTTTACAGTATTTCAGGCATTTGAGGGAAGATATCAAATTCTCCACTCCATCTGCTCTTCTCAGGCTAAGCCTCCCCAGCTCCTTCAGCTGTTCTCATATGACCTGGTTTGCAGACCTGTGACTGTTCTGTGGTTACCCTATTCTGTTTATTAATATCTCATTAAATGTGGCACTAAAAAGTAGTCCCACATTGCACCCTAGGAGTGCTCTAAACAGCACATTACCGGTCTCAAACATCACCTTGATCTAATCAATACATTTCTGTCTATACAGCACTAATGTTGCATTGACCTTTTCAACAACTGCATCAACCAGAGCTTCAGAGAGTCATGTCGATGCCTTCAAGAATTTATTGAATTGTTACTATGTCTCAAGCTGCATGCTAAATGCTTGGTATACAAAACTAAGAATTCCTGCCATTGATGTAACTATAGTGAGTAAGAATTTCCAATTAAATTTTTTTTTTCAGGCCAAGTGTCCTAGGAGTACTCTGTTTTTGAATCTTTTACCTTCATCTTTTTTTTTTTTAAAAAGATGCCCAGACTGGCCTTGAACTCCTGGGCTCAAGAGATCCTCCCTACTCAGCCTCCTGAGTAGCTGTGATTATAGACATGCACCATTGTGTCTAGCTTTATCTTTTTTTTTTTTTTTTTTTTTTTGTACCAGGGATTGAACTAGGGGTACTCAACCACAGAGCCACATCCCCAGGCTTATTTTATGTTTTATGTAGAGGCAGAGTCTCACTGAGTTGTTTAGCACCTTGCTGTTGCTGAGGCTGGCTTTGAACTTGAGATTCTCCTGTCCCAACCTCAAGAGCTGCTGGGATTACCCTGTTATCTTTATCTGTCAATACCATTTTGAATCCCCAGTCTATCATCCATCACATTAGCACTCATTCCTAGATTTGTTATCTAAAAATTTGATAAATATGCCTTTCCTGATATAATTCAAATGACTGATGAAAAGGTTGAAATAAGTAGGGACAAAATACAGTAATCTTAGAGGCCTCTCCTATACAGATATCAATTTGCTAATCAATATCTTGAGCACTGTGGGTGACTGGAGGGAGAGAGACAAGTGTGAGAATGCAGACACTTGGAGTCAGGGCTGGCTTATCTATAGCAGTTTAATGCCATTACCAGACATTCATTCTCCAAGAAGTCTAAAACCTAGCCCCATTTCCTCAAAAAGAAGAAAATAGGAGTCTAATACCTCTATGCCTTAGGAAGTATATAAATTTTAAAGAAGAACCCCCAATGGGGAATACTAACCTTGTAGAGCCTTTGCGGGGGTCCTGCTGCTCCATGCTCTCCTCAGATGGCTGAAACCATCTTTCCAGATCTTCATCAAGAGTAGAATGAGCTCTATCCAAGGGAAAGTGAAGAGAATGGTGACAATAGTCTTTCTCCCTCTCCCTTGACAAGGAAACATAACACTCTATAGAGTGGCAAGAAACTTTAAAAACCTGTGCTTTCTCTATACAGTTGAGGAAATGTAAGTTTGGTCAGACTGTATGTAGACTCACAGAGGTCACATAGATCTAATTTAAATATATACAAAATAGTCCCATAGTCCCTTGACAAAAAGCCATGGCATCCATGATATCACTGCTTCCCAATGTCAAATGCTGACTCTTGTCTCAATCTAGGTCATTAAGTCAGTTTCTACCTTAAGTCAAGATTGCATATGCTTTCTACTTATTCTTCTAAGAACTACCTCTGAGGCTAGAAGATGAAAGTAGGATGTTTTAAGAAAGCCTGAAAAATATCCCCCATCAAAAAAATATCTTCCACTCTAGCTTGGTCCCTAGAACGGACAAACCATTCATAGCACTGAAATGTCTGAGCATCTGTGGAGCATGTCTGTGGTAAGTACTGCCACCAGTTCTTTTGGAAAAGGATGAGACAATAACATTAGCTAACTTTTGACCATGTACAAAGAATTTTATGTTTGAATAACCAAACCTAACTTGGTCTTCTTAAGCAATTATTCTTTTACCTTAAATTATGGCACAGATTTTTAATGACAGCATTTGGGGGAGATAGAAGGAACAGTTATATCACAGATCAAAATTTTCTAAAACATCCCTTGAAAAAAAATTTTTCCCCTTCTTGCCTCTTTCTTTTCTCTGTCTCTAACCCTCTCTCTATTTTCTTCTTAGATCCCAGGGCTCCAGTCTCCTCCTCTACTTCCCAGACTTTTCCTCTTCCAGGTCTCTCCTTTTTCCTTCTTATAAAGAATACCATATCCCTTGAAGAATATGACAGACACTAGATTCATTAACCAAAAGTTATTCAAAACACTCTTATTTGCTGCTGCCTTTTATAGCAGTTGGGATGTTAATTCAATTTCTGGTCTCCCTTGTACCCAATAGGGGTCATGTGTCAGTTTGATCTATTAGATAAAGTGGATGTGGGCTGGGAAGAGTTTCTTGGGAAATTTTGCTTTCCAGATAAAATGGGGCAGAATCAACTAATATATTCCTTTGTCTCACCCGCCTATATCTGCCTGGTGTGCGGATAGCTGCCATCTTGCAAATGGGAGTTGACAAGCCAGAAAGAGTTTCAGTTTTGTAAAATGATAAATGTGTGGAGAATTGTTGCATAACAATTTGAGTACAGATGCCCTTGATTTATATTGTAAATACTGTTAAGTTGTAAATACATTTCTTATTTAATACACCTAACCAACCAAACAGCAAGCTGAGCAAGACAGTACACTGTAGAGTGTTGAGAGCCACAGCCGAAGGGGCCCCAGCAAACTTCCAGCTGCCAGCAAACTTCCAGCTGCTGGCTGATGATTGGCTCACAGCAGCCCCAGCAACATCTAGCTGATTGGCTCCTCTGCGGTGATGCTCATTGGGCTGTTTCCCTGCCCTTTCAGACCACGGAGCTGCTCACTGGGGGACTTTTTTTGGCTCCGCCCACGTGACCCAGCCAATCCGCCTCAAGAGCAGGAGGATTGTGGGAGGTGGAGAGAGAGGCTTGGGTTGGAGAGAGAGGCTTGTGGAAAGCCGGTGGTGGCAGTTGGGGCTCTGAGGGTTTTTCCTGAGAGGCTGTTCTGTTTGGCGTGTGTGGTTCTAAAAATAAAGTTAGTTTCTTTTGACAAGTGGCTCCTGATTGTGCCCAGCCAGACTGTGGCAGTAGAGTATTAGTCATTTACCCTCATGATTGTGAGGATGACTGTGAACTATGGCTTGTTGCTACTGTCTGGAATTCAGAATATCATACCATATATTGCTATCCCAGGAAAAGATCATAAAGTCCTAAAAACATAGGTTGAACCATCATAAGTTGGGACCATATACATGCTTTTTAAAAAAATATATCTTTAGTTGTATATGGACATAATATCTTTATTTTATTTATTTTTTTATATGGAATTGAGAATTGAACCCAGTGCCTCACAGGTGCTAGGCAAGTGCTTTACCACTGAGCCACAACCCCAGTTCCAATCTGTATACTTAATATTACTGAACTATACACATAAAAATTATTAAGATGATAAATATTTTTAAAAATATTTTTAGTTGTAGTTGGACACAATACCTTTATTTATTTATTCTTATATGGTGCTGAGGATCGAGCCCAAGACCTCGCACGTGTTAGGCGAGCACTCTACTGCTTAGCCACAACCCCAGCCCAATACCTTTATTTTTATTTGGTATTGAAGATCTAACCCTACACCTCACACATGCTAGGCAAGTGCTCTACCACTGAGTCACAACCAAGATGGTAAATTTACCCCAAGATGGCAAATTTTATGTTATATTTATTTTACATATAATGTGTATGTATGTTGCATGTAAGTTTTATTAATGTATTTTACATGTAACATATATTATTTGTATTTTATCACAGTTAAATTTTTTAAAAAGCAGAAGACCTTTTAGGAATGGGAGTTATTAGGATAATATGGGGAAAGATTGTTTTCCTCCTATTTGTCAATATTGTGGAAAACACTTAATATAAACAATGCAATTTTTAAAACCCTTTCAAAAGTCTAGCTTTTTCTATTACCTCTCTGTGTCCTCTTCTAGATCCTCAGTTTCTCTTGTCCAAAGCAAAATGTTATCATTTTTATTATGGGCAGTTTCTTGTTCTTCTAAATGCTTTTGATCTAAAAACAATTAAAAGAATTAGCTTTATTAGAATGAAAACATTAAGAAAGCCTGCCTTAAAACGGAGTATAGAAATTAAGGCCTATCAGTGTGGTTCCTTAAGTACGCAATGGACCAGCTCCTCTCTTCCCATTAGAGCAGGAGGACAGGTGGCAGTCTATAGGACACCTGTATTCACAACAGCTGCATCTGGGAGCTCTTTGGTGCCAGGTGAAGCTTTAGGAAATCTAGCCTGTGCCAAGGTTCAGAGATGGATAGAACAAGCAGAGGAAAGAAAGGTCACACAAAAGATAAGGCAAGCAGCCCTGAGAACAAACTGAATAAATTTACTTCTTAGAAATGTTTCTAGGTTGGAGCCCCAGGGAAGGAATGTGGGTGGGGAAGAAACCCTCTAATGTATGATAAGGATTTTACATATGCTATCTCATTTCATTTGGCCACCAGTCCCATAAAGGGAAGAGGACTAACATTTGCTAAATATTTTATGGATGTACCATGCACTGTTTGTGGAGCTATTATGTACATCATAATATAGGAATTATTATCCCCATTTTACAGATAAAGACAACTGAGACTCGGATATTAAACAGTTGGTCATATAACTGACTTAGGACAGTAGCACATATTCATAATTCCAACTACTCAGGAGGCAGAGGAAGGAAGAGCACAAGTTGGAGACCAGCTTCAGCAAATTAGCAAGGCCCTAATTTAGCAAGAAACTGTCTTAAAAGATAAAACTAAATAAATAAATAGGGGCATGTGGCTCAGAAGTCGAGAACCTTTAGGTTCAGTCCCTAACACTGCAAAAGCAAAAACCAGTAGAGTCAGAATTGAGGTGGAGTTGTGACTGACCTCAGGGTCACACTTCCCCGTATGTACTACTCTGTTTCCAAGGACAACATTACACCTAGAACCTGATGAAAAAATCTGAGAGTATATGCTCACCATTTGCAGTGATGCCCAGATCATGTACTGTGTTCTCATGCAACACTGTGGATGAATTCTGCTGCTGCTTCAGGTGCTCTGTCACAGTACAAAAGCAAAAGACAACTTATTCCTCCTTTGAATGACTCTAGGGCAGTGGTTCTCAAAGGGTGGTCCTCAGACCAGCAGCTCTGACTTAACCCAGGAACTTGATAGAAATGCAGATTCTTGGGCCTTATCCTAGACCTACTGAATCTAAAACTCTGGCAGTATGGTCCAGCAATCTGTGTATTATCAAGACCTTCAAGATGCCTGATAAAGTTGGAGGACTACTACTTTAGGACATTCCAAATTTGAAGGAAATTTTTCAAGTAAGACAAAAAAAGATGATTATGGTGATGCAGAGGATAGGTAATACTTTGCCGTACCCTATGTACTCAGGATTAATGTTCACACAGTCTTTTTTGTGTGTATGTATGGTGCTGGGGATTGAAGCCAGGGCCTTGTGCATGTGAGGCTAATGTTCACAATCTTTACAACAACCCTATGCAACTGACTGCATTATTGTTAATTGTGTTTAGTGAATGAGGAAATTAGGGTTAAGAAACTTGCCTAAAACCTAAGAAAGGTTAAAGAACTTGCCTAAAATCACACAGATAATCAGTGGGAGGATTGAGATTTGAATCCAGGCAGTTCTAACTCTAAGGTTTATGCTCCTAATCTCTATGTTATACTCTGTAAAAGAAATTTTGTTACAACATCAGAATAATTCAAATGTTTCCTCATCGCTATTGGCCTATGGAAAGACAAGAGGCAGAGAATATCCATTATTTCCATTTCCTAAAGAAATACTTACTAAAGACAAGCATCTGCTAAAATCAGTGGCTGCTCTGCATTTATTAAGTGCTCAGTCTCCTCAAAGTACTCTCCAGTGCAGAGCAAAAAGTCAGTTGCAGGGAGCACAGGCAGACCACCCTGAGCTTGCTGGTCTTGTTCTGGGAAGGTACAAGTTGGCTCCCTTCCTGCTGAGTAGGAAAGAGGTCCTACCTCACAGAGCTTGGCATCAAAGGGCCCTATAAGATCATTTTATATAGTTTGAAATTAAAAATCCATTTTAATCCTGATTAGTCCCTTGTTGATCTTAAATGATTATCTATATCTTAGGGTTCTAAAATTTCCCGTGTAGGTTCTTGTCAGGAATCTATAGAGATTTGAATGTGGGTCCTCCAAAAGAGTAACAGCAGGTCATTCCCCAGAAATCTCTTTAGGGGAAACAATACATATACAATAGCCAGGTGAGTAAACCCATTATCAGGACAAACTACTCAAAAGCCCTCTACTTGATTATTTGCATAAGGCAGCCAGGACCTCCTAGAGGGAGAAGGCAGTGAACTTTTCCCCCTTGATTTATCATTAGGGAGTTCTTCAGTTGAGTAGGTACCTCCCATTTCTTCAAGGCCTAATGGGTCTAGTGTGGGGGAGGGGGAGTGCACAAACCCAAAATCTAATTTCCTTGAGGAAGAATGAGTGTGGATTGGTGACTCAGGCTCTGATAAAAGTTCCAAGGGTTTTTCTAAAACTGTAATGCTTTAGACAGAAGCATTAGAATCACGTAGTAAGGCTGAGAAGAGTCACTTCTTCATATGGATATCTTTACGCAGTCCTGTAAGCGATGAACACAGGGCCAGTACAAAGAGGTCTGGCCTCCTTCAGACAAGTAATTTTGGGTATTGGGGAAGGACTAAGAGAGAAAAAGGACAGGGATTTCATGTGTGGGTGATCTTAAAAGACTGCTTGCAGTCTGAGTTTATGGAAGGCTTCTTACTACTTGCATAGAAAACTCAATTCTTTTATTTTATAAACATTTATTGAGTTCTTTTTATATACCAGGCTCTGTTCTAGACTCTGGGGAATCAAACAACTAACAAAAGAGACAATTCCTTGAGGGGGAGAGAGACAAAATTAAAAAAGGATCCTCTGCTTTTTGTATTTCTGGAAAATTACTGACCCATTCAAAGTGACATCACCTAGAAATCTGCCCCAGATAATTGCCATAAGTGAAATGACTGTGCTGGGGTATGTACCATGAGACCAGAACCCAGGAGGAAACCTGGGAACACAGCTGCTACACTGGAGAAAGTGAGAGAGGGTTCACATGTGGTAACTACAGTAGAAGGACAGCAGGATCCACGGGCAAGTATTGATTACAGTCAAACTTGCAAGTACCTATTTAAGCCTACTTTGTATTTCTGGAAAATTACGCCATTGCTAAGGAACAAATGATACTAAAAATCTACTTAAGCAGTACACATGTGGGATAACCTCCAATCTCAACAGTTCTGTTATTTTAAGAAGAGCAACTACAGAGGAAGAATTTGCCGAGATTAACTAGAGAGTCTCAGAGGTAGAAAGTAGAGAGGTAGGGGTATGGGCCTAAGAGCCTGACCCATAAAAGCCTGTGACCTATATGACCCTGTGGCACTGAAGGCAAGGTTAAGTGAGGCAACAAAAGGCTATAGGGTTGGGGGTGTGCTCAGTGGTGCAGCACTTGCCCAGCATGTGCAAGGCCCTGGGTTTAATCCCCAGTACTGCAAAAATAAAATAAAAAAGGAAAGGGCCTGTAACTACGGGAAAAGAAACCAAGCAAGGAAGGTTTTAGAAGCTGACTGGATCCACTTAAACATGTCAAAGAACAGGGTCTGAGGGTTATAAGGAGACTAGAAGGCAGCTGGTCCTAGAGTCAGACCAATAAGCTCTCACTTCTTATGAGACTCAAAACCTCAGAGACTCTGAAAACCAACTAGTGTCCAGGAAGTTCTCTACAAGCTCCATAGCAAGAATAGGACCATCAAAAAAACAATTAAACTCTCACAAATCTGATGAGAGGCATCCCCTAAGGGCAAGGGGATGGTCCATCAAGCTGCTGGGGAAGCAGACTACCTGCCTGCAAATTTTTCGATAACCTTGCATCATTTCTTCACACCAACCCAAATGTAAATAAAATTGAGTTGGTACTACTCAGTCTCTGCCTGAAATGGAAAATTCTAGTCTCATTAAATTTTATGACACTGACTCTTAGGAAAGGGATTTACCCACAATTTCAATACTTTGAATGCCTCCACTCAGGCCTCCAAGGAATGGCTGGTTTGGTTTAAAAAGGAGATAAGAGTTTCTTTAATAAAAGAAGTTTATCATCATAAATCATTTTAATATTTTTATTTCCCCTCACAATCATCACCATTGCCTTTAAGAAACAAAATATAACAGATTCAGGCCAATATCCCAGCTAAGTTGTTGTGGTCCCTTTTATTGGAAAGCTGTCCCTTTCTGATTTTATCATTCAACCAGAACTTTGTAGGCCCTTTCTATTAGTGCCCACATCTGAGATAAGGAAACCATGCTGTGGTCAGTGACAATAGCTGACAAGACCAAGTGTATTTTGTATTAAATGTTCCTGTTATGGTTTAGGTCTGGAATGTCCCCCACAATCTTCTGTGTTAAAGGTTTCATTCCCAGTGCAGCACTGTTTAGGGAGAGGTTTGGGAAAATGATTGGATCATGAGGGTTCTGACTTATTATTAGTAGGTCACTGGGGGCATGTCCTTGGGGACTTTATCTTGTCTCTAGTCCCTTCTTCTGTCTTTCTCTCTGCTTCCCGGTTGCCACAAGCTGAGCAGCTTTCCCCTACCACACCTTTTCACCATGATATTCTGTCTCACCTCAGGCCCAGAGTAATGTAATTGGTCAATCATGAAATGAAACCATGAGCCAAAATAAACCTTTCCTCTTCCGAGTTGTTTGTGTCATATACTTTAGTCACAGTGATGAAAAGCTGGCTAACAGTCTCTTACCAATTTCGTCAAGTAGCTCCTGAGATGGTGGTGGTAGCTCATCAATGTGATGCTGTGAAATGGCTTCCATTAGTTCTTTAAAAAGATAAAGGGAGAAATGACTTAACACCTTCCTGAATCTGAAGTGGACTTTTCTAAGCCCCCTCATGAATTTGACTGAGGATTTCCAATGATGAAATAAATAAAGGGTGAAAGAAAGTCTTTTATATAACAGTCCTAATAGATACCTCCTTCTCTTAAATAATTTTCTTAGTAGAGACCTCTCTTATTCTATCCCACTTACCTCAGTATGGGTTGGCCTGTGCCCCTTCCTTTGCTAAGGATATTTGAAGTAGGTTCTTACTAAGAGGCTGGGAGGTCCAATCTGGATCAGAATTGCTTAAGGAATATAGAGGTTATAGACCAGCCAAAATGGACAAAACACAAAGTAGAAGGCCTTTGTCTATAAATTTTCAGGCCAGGGGATATAAAAGCAACTGTACTTCAGGTCTTGCCCCAAGAGCTCAATTATAATAACAACCCCTCAATATAAGACAAAATCCATTCCCGGAGGGAAAATTTCAAGAGTTGTTCCAAAGACTTAAGATATTAAAATTAATGTAATGAAAGCAAGAGTTGTAAAAACATCAGATCCTTTGGGCTGCGGATGTAACTCAGTTGTAGAGCACTTGTCTAGCATATGTGAGGCATGGGTTCAACTTCCAATACCCCACCACCCACCAAAAAAAAAATCCTTAACAGTATCAGACGCTTTTGATTAAAAAACTGTTTTCTAAGAATCTGTCCTGAGAAAAGGATCAGAAGTATAGTTAAAGATTTATGTATACAGAGCAAAAAGTTGGAAAGCAACATAAATCTTTGACATTAGGAAAGAGTTAAATAACACTGACTATTAAATAGAATGGACTTTAAATAGAATGGATTATTATGTAGTTATTTTATATATATATATATATATATATATATATAAAATATATATAAAAATAAATAGTTTTTAATGACAAGGGAAAATACTCAAAATGCAGTTATTCCTCAGTATCTATAAGGGACTGATTCTAGGATCTCTTCTACCTGTGGGTATCAAAATTCATGGACACTTAAGTCTCTTACATAAAATGGTACAGTATTTGCATATAATCTTTGTATATCCTCCCATATACTTTAAATCATCTCTAGATTACTTACAATAATAATACATTATAAATGCTATGTAAATAGTCATTTTACTGTATTGTTAAGGGAATAAGAACAGAAAAAGAGCATATACATGTTCAGAACAATTTTCTTCAAATATTTTTGACTTGCTGTTGGTTAAATTTGTGGATGTGGTACTCACAGAGAAGGAGGTTAAGTACATATCATCAAGGAAAAAAAGCAGTCTAGAACTGATATGCAACTATGCTATTTTTTAATATATTTCTAAATCTGTGAGAAAGATATATACTAAAATTATACATGAAATTTAAAAATTACAGTTATATAATTATTTTATTTTTTAAGCTTTGCTTTATTCTCCAAGTTTTCTATAACAAATCTGTTTCACAATCGGAGGAAATAGCATTTTTGTTTGAACCAAATATAGCTTCGACTTAAGTCTCCTTAAATTGGCTAACTATTATGAACTTCTACTTTGATATGACACACAGGTACCTTTAGGCAGGCTCCTTCTCTGGGTGGCTTGGGTTGATGTGTCAGATGTGGTAGCCATATTAGAGGAACCAACTACAGCACATGCAGACAATCTTTTCTACAAGTGAGATGTAAAAATAGCAACTGACACATGTGTTGAGTAAAAAAGTACATGCAGTTCAATCATTTCCACTTTTTAAAGAAATATTTTTTAGTTGTTGATCAACCTTTATTTTATTTATTTATTTTTATGTGGTGCTGGGGATCAAACCCAGTGCCTCACACATGCTAGGCAAGTGCTCTACCACTAAGCTACAACCCCAACCCTTATTTCCACTTTTTTTTAAAAATTGATTTTATTTTTTATATACATGACAACAGAATGCATTGCAATTCTTATTACACATATAGAGCATAATTTTTCATATCTCTGTTTGTATAATAAAGTATGTTCCCACCAATTCATGTCTTCATACATGTACTTTGGATAATGATATCCATCACATTCCACCATCATTGCTAACCCCTTGCCCCCTCCCACTCCCACACCTCTGCCCTATCTAGAGTTCCTCTATTCCTCCCATGCTCCCCCTCCCTAACCCTCTAGGAGTCAGGCTCCTTAGAGAAAACATTTGGCATTTGTTTTTTTTGGGATTGGCTAACTTCACTTAGCATTATCTTCTCCAACTCCATCCATTTACCTGCAAATGCCATGATTTTATTCTCTTTTATTGCTGAGTAATATTCCATTGTGTATATATGCCACATTTTTTAAATCCATTCATCTACTGAAGGGCATCTAGGTTGGTTCCACAGTTTAGCTATTGTGAATTGTGCTGCTATAAACATTGATGTGGCTGTATCCCTATAGTATGCTGTTTTTAACTCCTTTGGGTATAGACTGAGGATAGGAATAGCTGAGGCTGGGTCACATGGTGGTTCCATTCCCAGTTTTCCAAGGAATCTCCATACTGCTTTCCATATTGGTTGCACCAATTTGCAGTCCCACCAGCAATGTATGAGTGTGCCTCTTCCCCCACATCCTCGCCAATACTTATTATTGTTTATCTCTATAATAGTTGCCATTCTGACTGGAGTGAGATGATATCTTAGAGTAGTTTTGATTTGCATTTCTCTAATTGCTAGAGATGATAAACATTTTTTCATATATTTGTTGATTGATTGTATATCCTCTTTGAGAAGTGTCCTTGGCCCATTTATTGACTGGGTTATTTGTGTGGTTTTTTGGTACTTAGCTTTTTTTTTTGAGAGAGAGTTTTTTTTTTTGTTTGTTTTGTTTTTAAATTACTGTTTTTTTTTTTTATTTTATTTTTTAGTTATCGGCAGACACAACATCTTTGTATGTGGTGCTGAGGATCGAACCCGGGCCGCACGAATGCCAGGCAAGCACGCTACCGCTTGAGCCACATCCCAGCCCCGAGAGAGAGTTTTTTAATATTCTTTTTTTTTTTTAGTTTTCGGTGGACACAACATCTTTATTTTATTTTTATGTGGTGCTGAGGATCGAACCCAGGGCCTTACATGCACTAGGCGAGTGCTCTGCTGCTGAGCCACAACCCCAGCCCATTCACTTTTTTATCTAGTAAGTTAAACTCATTCAACAGACCTCCTCTGGAAGCCTTCTCATCCCTTTCTGCCTCAGTACTTACCTCTGTGTTACATTAGGCCTCTCTTTCTCTCTAGACAATGAGCAACTCTGAAGAAAAGTATATGTCTTAGATGACTGGAAGAGGGTCTGACATGATGCCTGGCACTCAGAATCTATTTAGTCAACAGTCTGTTGAATAAAAGGGTAAATTCCTTACCATTTCCCAACTCCTTTATTTATTTATTTAGCTGTACTAAGGATTGAACACAGGCCTTATGCATGATAGGCAAGTGCTGTACTATTG